CGTGTTTAGGGGGTTAAATAATTATGCCTGAAAAATCGCAAATAGCCATCAATAGTCGTCAATGCTATAAACCGGAGCATAAATGAATTTTATACAATTAAACAACCTTCAAGGGAGTTGTGCGTAAAGCCCCGTCTAGAGGCAATTTAAGTTGAATTCGTCTTCGCCACTCAGCCAATAGTTGGGCCCGCTGTCTATAAGCGAGCAGAACAACGCCGAAAAGAACATCAGTGAAAAGGGCACGTTCATGCGCCTCATCCAATACTATAACGGAGTAGCGTGATAGGGCCGGGTCAAGACTAGCTTCTCGAAGCAGCATACCATCCGTCATGTAGCGCAGTTTAGTAATGGTTGGATGGGATACATCTTCAAAGCGAACACAGTAACCGACAGGTCCTACACCCACATCCCCTTGTCCGACCTCATAAGCAACGCGTTCGGCCACTGATATTGCAGCAACTCTTCTAGGCTAAAGAAAATAAGTTTAACGCCAAATATAAAAAATATGATTGAGCAAAGACTTAGCGTGATAAAAATATCATAAAATAGAGCTTAGGGATAGAGCTTAAAATATATGAAAAGAAAATTCTTTAAATGTGATGAAGCGAAAATTGACTTACGAATGCAAAAACGCAGAATAAATATAAATACCGGCAAAACGTTTTTAAACCCGAAATGATAGGTAAAAGTATGCAAAATCATCACTAATTCTAAGCATACTTTGATAAAAAAACAACTTTATAGGCATTCTGCTTATATAAACAAACGTGTTAAAAATTAAGTACATGGAAACGCGTATTGAGAAGTCCAGAAGATAACAACTGGGATCATTACAAATATAGTCACTACAAATATATGAGGTTAATCATAAATTAATAAGTACCGGCCCGTAAATCAGAACGAAAATAGGTCATGATATTTTAATGAATGATATGTTAATGTCACTATAGCTAATGCTAACAGAAACACTAAGATACACGTATGATTAGATTAAGTACACACTATACCATGCATATGTAACACATACAAACAATACAGGGT